CCCCAAAACCCCAAAACCCCAAAACCCCAAAACCCCAAAACCCCTGAAATTCTAAAAATATTGATTTTTAAGTTTATAAATAATATTTGAAACAAATTTGTACCCAATATGTCAATCCGTACAAAGCCAAAAGCATTTAAAATGAAGAAAAGAGGTGATTTAGATGCCTTCATTGAAGACGAACTCAAGAATATGAACCCAGGAATGGGAAGCAAGCCCATCAAGGTTGGTAAAAAGAAAGTCAAGGTCTCAAGCAAGAACTTCAAACCTTCATTCGCAGGAAAAAAAATAAAGAAAATGGAGCCAAGAACCGACCAAGCACTTGTATTGGATAATTCTGCGGTTAAGGAGGACAAACCCACTCCTAAAAGGATGACTCCTTTCAAGCCGATGAAAATTAAGAATAAGCCAGGAGCCAAGCAGCTGAATTTCTCTATGAGCGGAACTGAAGAGAAGCAGAAAAAGCCTCAAGGACCTTCGAAACTTCTTGCTTTCCAGGAAAAGGTAAAGAACCGAAAATATGAAGCTCCGGTGACTCTTGTAAAAGAGCCTGAAGATGATTCGTATTCTGATGATTACGAAGAAGATGGATTTGAAAGTGACGATGACAAGAAGGACATCAAGAAAGCTCTTCAAAAAGAGAACAGGAAAGCACTGAAATTTAATGACAAGCTAAAGCCTAAGATCAACAACAATAATAACTCCTTCCTCATGGGAAATAATGGGGACTCCAATAGAGATAACCTCGGCTCTAGAGGAAGTAATAAGCCTAGACTTCAGACTCCAGAGAAAGGATTCTCTGAAGGAACAAAATTAGTTATGAACAAAAGAAAAATCACAGCTGGGGCTGCCAATAAACAGCAAGAGAGAATTCAGAATTTGGTCCCTATTATCCAAATAGAAACTGAGGAGTATGATAATCAGCTGAATATCAAGCCACAGACTTCCCAGGATTTGTATTTTAATAAGTTACAAACCTTCAAGATCCAAAATGAGATGGTTCAAACTAACGACGATAACATTAGTCGAGACATACAGACTGATGCTATTGAGGAGAAGGAGGTACAAGCTCAGGCTCCTGAAGACCTTTTCAGTAAGAACGAGAGCACCAAATCTCAAGGCACCCAAGATCTTGGTGGTTTTATCCAAAGAGTAACTCCTGTAATGGAAATGATCTGTGAAGAAAATGTACAATTAGCTGATTTGGTAAATCCTTCTGCGAAAGATAAAAATCCTGTTGAGCAGAAGGCTAAAATATCGTTCCCAATTGATTTATGAAAAGTGCTGGGAAGTAAGATGAAGAGAGTCTCTTGAACCCATTCTTTTGAAACTGCTCCACACAGGAAATGAGCTGTCTCTTACGTCTTAGAGAATCCAGATGGCGAAGAGGCTTATATAACAGTTGTATACCATCTTTCCTCTTCTAGTTCGATCAAATATCTGAAGACTCAGAACGAAGTCACTAGTATGTGCACTCCTTTCGAAAATGTAGTCATATGTGGAACAAAGCTGGGGTCTATTTGAGTGTTCGATCTTGATGAGAATTTTAGGAAAGAAGAAGTAAGCCTCGGTGACGAAATCAATACAGATCTGGAGATGGAAGCATTAAGAGACCATTATAGAATTATTGATCCTACATTTACGACTGATGGGCTTCCAGAAGTAGTTCATTACTTTGAAATTACAAAATTAGTATCCTTAGTCAGAAAAGGGTCCTACAGGGTCGTAGCAATTGATAATGTTGGCAAACTTTCATCTTGGATTCTGATAGAATTCAGTGAAGGAGACTGGGCTGGTTCCTTAGCAGATCTTTCTCTCAAAGTTGGAGGAAAAATGAAGCTTGCACTTCATTCGGAAATAGATTTAAGCGAAAAATTAAAAATTATCTATGATCCTGAAACGTTTGAAATAGCTTTTGATCCCAACGATCAGAATTCATTCATTTTCAGTACCAGTGACGGCCTATACTACAGCAAACTTTATAACAAAGCAGATGATAATTCAAGCAAGAAAGGGGGACCGATTATCAGAACTCTTGATACAAGTTCTGTCGGAGAACTGATCAGGGTTACATCGATATCATACTCTGATAAAGGCTTCATCCTAACAGGATTCGAGGATGGTTCAATAGGTTTGTATCACATAGATTTTTCTACACCAATATCTATTTGGTACAACTCGTGAGAGACAGCAGTACAGGAAATCAAATGGTGAACAATTTATTTCTCTGAAGGTAGATCTAACATGAGAGCCGGTGATTTAAACTCTCACGAAGCTGAAGTATCTGACTCCCGATTTGCTTCAAGACTTTGTGAGTTCTTTGTTGTTGATGTCAATGAAAATTTCTATATATGGAACCTGAACAAGAACATCCACAAATCAATTCACAAGATCAATTTTGGAGAGAAGCATGGTGGAGTGATAGACAACAGTAAATCAATTATCTCCAACACTTGATCAGACCAGTCATTCTATACTGGCTTCTGCATCGATGATTACCAGGTTGTGTTCTATTTCATGAACTTCAAGAAGGGAACTAAGATATCAAAGGAGAAGATTGATAGTGAGAACCAGAAGTCTATAAAGCTGCTCAAAATCCAACCTAATTAGTTGCAACTATGCATAATTCAAATCAAAATTAATCTGGTCAATGTTTATCATGAGTTTCAATTCGCTAGTTTTCTCACGGGGTTTTGGGGTTTTGGGGTTTTGGGGTTTTGGGG